ATCTGCCCACAGCCAGGCCCGAGACTTCTTGTCGGGTCAGTGTTGGTTACAGACCCAGTACTCCTCAGGAGCCAGACTATCAGAGCACCTTTTTGAACTTGAAGTGTGGCTCATGACGCCAAGGAACGGAATTTTAATTGTTCCTTTAACAATTTAAATCGCTGCCAGTTTAGACGCGAGGGTGCAGCTGCCATCTGCTCGCTGCGGGAAGAGTGGGCGCTCTCCTCCTGCTTGTCCCTCCTCCCCACTTCCTTCGGGGACATGGCCACGGCCAGCTTGTGTCAGAGGTGCATGTTGTATGATGGAGAACCATGTAGTTAAATACAGACATGTTCAGTGATGTCTGTGGGCCGTGTGAGTCTCTCTGTGTCATCAGGGTGCCCAGGCTGGGCAGTGCCCGAGGTGCAGTCCTCACGGATGATGCCCTCAGCTTCGGGGGGTCTTACCAACTCAGCAGGTCACTGGGGCACAGGTGCTTTCAGTGCTGGGACCTCAGTGTAACAGAAAGCCCTCTCTGCGGCCCTGGCCCTCCCTGAGCACGTGACCGAGGGCTGGCGCTGGGGAGCCTCTGGCCGGAGCAGCAGTGGCATGCTCAGGCGGCTTCGTCCCACCAGGCGGCCGTGTCCCCAGCGATTACCTCCCGGACAGAAGCAGCCTGAGGGCACGTGCCCGGGCGGGTCATAGGTCACCAAGGCCTTTAGAAGGAGGCCGGGTCACGGGAAGGAGCTGCTCTGGAACACGCCCCGCCAGCCTGTTACCTGCGAGGGTCTCTGCTGCTGAGCAGAGCCAGCCTGCTGGGTTGTCAGCAGGGGTTTGGATGAATAAGGCTTATCATGACGAACTGGATTACAACTGTTCCTTTAAAGGCTCAGATTTACACAAGTTTTAATTTTTATAAATAGCTCATGAACACGTTTGTTAAAAAATAGCATGGAGTGGGCCTCAGTTTAGGAGTGGAAGCTTCTCTGAGAGGAGGTGGGATGGAGCGCACAGAGTACTGATGGTGGTACCAGGAGCCCCAGGGCCTGGCTCCCGGGGGCTGTCACTCTGGCATCTAGATTAGCCTCGGGGCGCACATGCTCTCTGTCTCCGCAGCGGACCCGGTGCCCGAACTGTTCCTGGAGCGGCTTGGGCTCCAGCCAGCATCCCAGTAAGCCGTGTCCTTGGCCGGTCTGGGCGGTTCTTGGAGCCCGCCTGCTGTGCTCCTGTTGGGTTTGCTCTGGTTCCTTACCCAGCACAACCCCCTCCCCGCTCCTCCTCTCAGCAGGCCTTCTGCTGGGCCCAGCACCGAGTGCTGCCCTGAGGTCTTGAGCAATTTTCTTGTCAGCGCAGTTCTAGAAAGTTCCCGCCTCCTCGGTCTGCTTTTCCCTGTACTTTGCGGAGAACAGTGCTTTTCATTTTGCCTAGACAGCCATGCCTCTGCCTTCCACTTTTGTGTTCTGCATACGGTGCGCCCTCGGTACCCATCTGTAATCTTTTAAAATATATATATATATATATATATATATATATATATATATATATTTTTTTTTTTTTTTTTTAAATCAATCTTTATTGTTCATATTATTACAAAGGTTCCTCATTTCTTCCCCCCTCCACCAGGTTCCCACCCCACTCTCCGTCCCCCCCCCATCTCCCATTGTCCTCATCCATAGGTGCAGTTTATGTTCAGTCTCTTCTTCCCTCAATTTCCCCAATAGTAAATCCCTTTTCAGATAGTAAATCAGTTACTTAGCATTTTCTCATATCAATAATACCTCCACATGCCCAATGATACACTTCACACAAAAGACATTTCCCACTAGGTCAACCAGCCTCTTCCAGGCCCCACCCAAGGCACTCACAGATCAACACCCCAGTCCTAAACTAACTCAACACATCCAGATCTAAGCCTTCATTACTTGATTCAGCAGACCCTCAAGTTCCCACGAAAGTTTCCAGCCATGTCTGAGAAGCAGCTGTGGGGCAGGGGCAGGCAAGGAGCGAGCTGTTCCGGGCCTGGCCTCTGTTGCTCTGGTTCATTCCACAACCAGCTGCTCCGGGTCTGGTCACTGCCGCTCCCGACCTAGTTGCTCTGGACTTGGCTGCTGCTGCTCCGGGCCTGGCCGCTCCCAGCCTGGCAGCCGCTGCTCCGGGTCTGGCCGCACCCGACCCTGCTCCCCCGGGCCTGGCCGCTCCCAGCCTGGCAGCCGCTGCTCCGGGCCTGGCCGCACCAGCCCCGCCTGCTCCCCCGGGCCAGGCCGCTCCCAGCCTGGCAGCCGCTGCTCCGGGCCTGGCCGCACCAGCCCCGCCTGCTCCCCCGGGCCTGGCCGCTCCCAGCCTGGCAGCCGCTGCTCCGGGCCTGGCCGCACCAGCCCCGCCTGCTCCCCCGGGCCTGGCCGCTCCCAGCCTGGCAGCCGCTGCCCCGGGCCTGGCCGCACCCGACCCGGCTGCTCCCCCGGGCCTGGCCGCTCCCAGCCTGGCAGCCGCTGCTCCGGGCCTGGCAGCACCCGACCCGGCTGCTCCCCCGGGCCTGGCCGCTCCCAGCCTGGCAGCCGCTGCTCCGGGCCTGGCCGCACCCGACCCGCCTGCTCCCACGGGCCTGGCCGCTCCCAGCCTGGCAGCCGCTGCTCCGGGCCTGGCCGCACCAGCCCCGCCTGCTCCCCCGGGCCTGGCCGCTCCCAGCCTGGCAGCCGCTGCTCTGGGCCTGGCCGCACCCAACCCGCCTGCTCCCCTGGGCCTGGCCGCTCCCAGCCTGGCAGCCGCTGCTCCGGGCCTGGCCGCACCCTAAAATATATTTTTATTGGTTTCAGAGAGAAAGGGAGAAGGAGAGATAGAAACATCAGTGATGAGAGAGAATTATTGTTTGGTTGCCTCTTGAATCCCCCCTACTGGGGATTGAACCTGCAACCTGGGCATGTGCCCTTGACCGAAATTGAACCCGGGATCCTTCAGTCCGCAGGCCAACACTCTATCCGCTGAGCCACACTGGCTAGGCTTGATCTGTAATTTTGATCGTGAATGAATTACAGAATTTTAACTCCGAGGGACTTTGGTCAATTCACTACATTTTCTCTATATGCTGTATTTTGGTTGTGTTTGTTTGTTTGTTTGGGTTTTTTTTGAGCCACTGGCAACTTCTAAGAGAGACTTAAGGCATAGTCCATGCATGGATTTTCCAGAGCAAAACGAGAATTGCTTATAAATAAATCCACAGCCAGGCCTGGTGCCATAGGTACCCAAGTGGGTACATGGAAATCAGTGGCTTAGCTGGTTGGCTAAATTGGAAGTGAATGTAGTTCAGTTTAAAGGAAGGTTCTTTAAATGGAACTTCTTTTATATGGGTTTTGCTGGCAGGATGCAATATTAAGCTCAATAATTCTCAAGTTAAAATGTCTTTGCACAGTGCGAGCTTTTCATGTCAGAGTGGCATTCAGATTTGACGGGAAAACTGGAGGCGCTGCTGCCACGCCCCCAAACTGCAGGCTCGGAGCCGCTTTTAGAAGCGGAGTGGGCGAAGGAGGGGAGGCAGCGGGTTAGCAGCAGGCAGCTCCCCGGGGCAGGTGTGTGTGTGTGTGTGTGTGTGTGTGTGTGTAAGCGTTGCTGGGTTGCACACAGAGGCTGAGCACGTGGCTGCAGCGTCCTCTCTCCAAAGCCGAGTTCCGTTAAGGGGGGACCCCGAGGACATCCTCCCCTGCCACGTCCCCTGGAGAGCCCGCTCTCCTAGACGGGAGCGTGGTAGGAAGAGCCGGTGCCTCGCAGGGAATCAGTGGGAAAGGGACCTTCGGAAATGAGAGCCGCTTTTCCCGTGCGGGGGAGGAGGCGAGGGGACCGGGCGCCTCGGGGTGCTCAGTGTGGAGGCTGCGGGTGGGCTCTGTGGCTGGACGGGGTGGGAAACAGGGGCTTCAGGTGAGCACAGGGGCTGGCTTCTGGAAGCCTGTGGCTGTCGCCCCGTGGCCTGCACGGTGGCGCCGAGTGAACTGGCCGGGTCCTGCGTGTTTCCTGGAGTTGGGTGGGTTATATATATAGCAAGCCTTCCTTTAATTAAGTAGTTTGTTCCAAGATAATTGTAGGCTCAGGCACACTGGCAGTGTTCACAGGCAGGAACATGGCGGCCGCACCTGGAGGAGCTCGGCACATCTTCACCATCAGGGCCTGGCGTGGCCGCATCACACACAGCCTCCCCCTGTGCCCCGCCGCCCGCTCCTGCCCCCACCCACACACCCTCCCTCCTGCGTCACAGGATGCTCTCTGTTACTGTAATATTGTCATTGCGTGAATGTTTCAAGAATGTTTCAATCTGCGATCCATTTGCCCCAGCCGGTTTGGTTCAGTGGATAGGATCCTGGGTTCAGTTACGGTCAGGGACACATGTCTGGGTTGTGGGCTCGATCCCTAACAGGGGCCGTGCAGAAGGCAGCCAATCAATGATTCTCTCTCATCATTGATGTTTCTCTCTTTCTCTCTCCCTCTTCCTCTCTCCCTCTCTTAAGAGATAAGTAAATATATATATATATATATATATATACATACACACACACACACAAATCTGTGATCCATTTTGAGTTAACTTACAATTTCATGGGTTCTGGTGGGGCCCATTTTTCGCCTGTGGGGGTGCCGTTCCTCCAGGGACGTGGAAGCCAGGCTCCTCGTTGGTTGCTGAGCGCCTGTCAGAAGTCATCGGGCCTGTTGGTGGGCTAGTTTACGGCTGCGGCTCTGCCCACTGAGCTGCTGTCTGTCTCTGCCAGTCCCACCGGCTGCCTCGCTGTGGCGCGGACAGTGAGCCTGAGTCCCGTATCCGGCCCTCCTCCCGGACAGCCGGGAGCCTCAGCTAAGAGCCTCGCTGGGATTTGGAGGACCCTTGTGAGATTTCTGTGTCCGCGTGGGGAGAAGTGGCCTGAAGAGCAAACCGGAAAGCGCCTCTCGGGGGAGCTGGAAGCCGCGGCCGCGCTGACACCTCGGGAAGAGGCTTTTCCAGGGTGTCTGCCCCCCTCCTCACCCCCTTTCTCCCGCCCCAGGCCTACGAGAGGAGGTTCCCCACGTGCCCGCTGATCCCCATGTTCGTGGACAGTGACACTGTGAACGAGTTCAGGAGCGAGGACGGGGCCATCCACATCATAGAGCGGCGCTGCAAGCTGGACATCGACGCCCCCCGGCTGCTGAAGAAGGTGCCAGGCCGAGCCCCCCGAGCGAGCACGCGCCCGCCCCCCCCCCCCCCCCCCCGCCATGGCGGCCCTGACACCTCCGCTCGTGTCTTCACAGATCGCCGGCGTGGACTACGTGTACTTCGTCCAGAAGAACTCGCTGAACGCCCGGGAGCGCACGCTGCACATCGAGGCCCACAACGAGACGTTCGCCAACCGGGTCATCATCAAGGAGCACTGCTGCTACACCGTGAGTGGCGCCCCGCTCCCGGCCTGTCTGGGCGCCCCCTCCCCGTCAGGCTGGCCCCCCCTACTCAGGCTGGCCCCCCCAGGCTGGCCCCCCCTCAGGCTGGCCCCCCCAGGCTGGCCCCCCCAGGCTGGCCCCCCCCTCAGGCTGCCCCCCCCCCCCTCAGGCTGGCCACTCCTCAGGCTGGCCTCCCATCAGGCTGGCCCCCCCAAGCTGGCCCCCCAGGCTGGCCCCTCCTCAGGCTGGCTCTCCCCAGGCTGGCCTCCCCCCTCCTCAGGCTGGCCCCCCCTCAGGCTGGCCCCCGTCAGGCTGGCCCCTGTCAGGCTGGCCCCCCCTCAGGCTGGCCCCTCCTCAGGCTGGCTCTCCCCAGGCTGGCCTCCCCCTTCCTCAGGCTGGCCCCCTCCTCAGGCTGGCCCCCCTCAGTCTGGCCCCTGTCAGGCTGGCCCCCCCTCAGGCTGGCCCCTCCTCAGGCTGGCTCTCCCCAGGCTGGCCTCCCCCCTCCTCAGGCTGGCCCCCCCTCAGGCTGGCCCCCTCCTCAGGCTGGCCCCCCCAGGCTGGCCCCCGTCAGGCTGGCCCTCTCCCGCGGTGGGCGGCAGGTGCAGGGGTGGGTGCAGGTGCACTCAGAGTGCTGGTGGCGATGCTGCCTCGGTCTGTGTGTGAGTTTGTGTGCCGCCCACTCCGCCTTTACATGTCTACTGAAGCCTGGGACCTCTGAGTGGCGCTGGGTACATTGGGTGCCCTACAGCTTCACCCTTACCACCGTTTCCAGAACTTTCCCTCCCAGATCGTTAGAATAACCTCCTGGGTCTCCCGCTCCTCCCCTCCCTCCTATAGAATCAGTCCTGAGTCCCGAGCCACATACGTCTCGACCCCCCCCCCCCCCACACACACACACAGTGTGTCAGATCACGTGACGTGGCTCAGAACCCAGCAGGGATGGCTTGGCACTCAGAGGCCGGACCTCTGCCGCCTGCCTGCCTCGTGCCCAGCCCGCTCCCTCTGCTGTCCGCGCCACAGACGGCCTTGCAGGGACCCCGCTCCCGCCCCCACCTCCTCAGCCGCTGCTGACGCCCTCCCTGGTGACGCCAGCCTGAATGTTTTAGAAATAGTATTTTGGTCTTTTCGTGATTTTGAACCTCTCTGTAATTTTTTATCTGCTACTTTCAGGGAAATAACATAATTTGGTAAAATAAGTTTTTTCTTATGCTGACTAGTTGATTGAGGGGCAGATGGATGACATTCTCAGTTAACAGTTAGCTAATGTCATTTTTTCTCAACCTAAAGGTTCACCCTGAAAATGAAGATTGGACCTGTTTTGAACAGTCTGCGAGTTTAGATATTAAGTCTTTCTTTGGTTTTGAAAGTACAGTGGAGAAAATTGCAATGAAACAGTATACCAGCAACATTAAAAAAGTGAGTCTGACTTGGGGTTTTATGGGAAGCGGGGGCAGGCGATCCTGGGATGCTCGTGCTGGCGGGCTTTGTGGGAGGCCGGCAATTGGGTACTCGGGGTCCCCACCATTTCTCTGGGGGAACTGCTCTGACCTCCCCGGCCTCAGATCCCGGTGCCCAGAACGCTGGCTGCCAGTGAGGTGGGAGGAGCCTGTGCCCTGGGCCAGGCCTTCTTGGCTGGGACGTGCGGGACGGACGGGAGAGCTGGGTGAGGCGGGAGCACGCACTCAGCCGCGGCCCCGGTGCCGCCAGGACCTGCGGCTGGAAGCGCCGCCCCCGGCAGAGCTCGGGGTCCAGCCTTGGGTCATTGGCTCATCTGCGTGGAAGTACTTTCCTTCTCGTTCTTTTTTTAATTTTTAAATAATTTTTTTTAAGTGTACTGATTTCAGAGAGGAAGAAAGAGAGAGAGAAACATCAGTGATGAGAGAATCATTGATCGGCTGCCTCCTGCACGCCCCCCACTGGGGATCTGCCCGCGGCCTGGCTTGTGCCCTTGACCGGGATCGAACCCCGGGACCCTTCAGTCTGCAGGCCGACGCTGTCCCCTGAGCCCCACAGGCCGGGGCTCCTTCTCGTTCTTTCGCTGCTGCTCATTATTGTGGAGGTTGGGTTTGGGCTGTATCAGCAGGGGGTTCTGAGTGCTTTTGAAGGCTTGTTTCATTTGGGGCTTTGGAAAGAATTTGGATTGAGACACAAAGCACGTATTGTGTGCAAGTGCGGCAAAGCAGTGCTTCTAATTAGTCATAGAATCTGGCTCTTCAGATAGCACTTCCTAGACCTTTGGAGAAGAGGAGGTAAAGTGTGAGGAAGGCGTTCGACTTCCCTCTCCGCTCCCAGCAGTTAGTTTTGCTGGTGTATAAAAGCTGGGGGGCGACTGCGTGCTCACCTTCCGCTGTTTGCTTTGAAGGGGAAGGAGATAATCGAGTACTACCTTCACCAGCTGGAGGAGGAGGGCATCACCTTCGTGCCCCGCTGGACCCCGCCGCCCCTGGCGCCCTCCTCGGAGACGGCCGCGTCGTGCCGGAAACGAGCGGCCTCGCTGGCCTCGGTGGCCCCGGAGGCTACACAGAAGGACGGGCTGAGCAGCGAGGCCCTCGGCAGCCCGGGCGGGGCCTCCGAGCCCGCCGCGGGGACCCCCGACGGTGGGTGCATCCCGAGAGCGGCGCTGGCCAGGCTGCCCGCGCTTCCTGTGCGGTGACGCTGCCTCTGGTAGTTCCTGTAGGACGCCTCGCAGGCCCTTCCTCCGCTCCGTGGCGGTGTCCGCGGTGAAGGCACTCGGTCTCGTCTGGAGTGGCGGGAGGGCCTGTGGCTGTGACAGACGCCTTCCGCTGACGGCAGCTGACCGCACCTCAGTGGACGCGCGTGGCACCTCACGGTCCGACAACTCCTCCTCATCGCTGCGTGCTCACTGCGGGTGCTGCTCTAAGCCCTTTCCTTTTTTTTCTTCTTTCTCTTTTTAAAATATATTTTATTGATTTTTTACAGAGAGGAAGAGAGAGGGACAGAGAGTCAGAAACATCGATAAGAGAGAAACATCGACCCGCCGCCTCCTGCACACCCCCACTGGGGACGTGCCTGCAACCAAGGCACATGCCCCCCACCGGAATCGAACCAGGGACCTCTCAGGCTGCAGGCCAACGCTCTATCCACTGAGCCACACCGGTTTCGGCTCTAAGCCCTTTCTGAGCAGCCCTCTCATCATGCCTGTGGGAAGGCAGTGCTCCACGGGGCAATGAGCCGCGGAGGAGTCTACGTAGAGTCGCGCTGTTCCTGGCAGGGCCGGCAGCAGACAGCGGCTGGCTCCGAGGCTGTCAGCTGGGCTGCGCGTGAGCACACACACCCGCACGCACACCTTTTTCATTTCCCAGTGACGCCCGTTGTAAAATAAGAAAACGCCAGAAAGTTCCACCACCATCTTGTCAGATGTTGATCTTTACCTTCCTCTCCGCCCTCTGAGCTCAGCGGTGCCACTCGCTGCTCCAGAGGCGGCAGGCGTGTCCCTGGCTGGGGCTGCGCTCTGTTCGGCCCCTTGCGCATTTTTCTGTGCTGCACTTCCTTTCCCGCCTCATGTTTGCAGTGCTTGCTGCTCAGCATGAAAAAGGTTTCCAGTGTTCTTAAACACAGCTCTGCTCACAACGGGCTCAGATCCACTTGTTTCATTTCATAGTTGTAGACCTGTAAGCTCTCTCTGTGTGACTCTCAGTGAAAGGCACTGAGCCCCTGGGAGGCCATTGTTCTGCCATGAGTAGTGCTGACATTTTGCAAATGGAGGAACCTGCTGGCACCGAGGGGATAGGATAGATCCACTGGTTACCCGGGCTGTCAGTGGCTGGGTTTCAGAGGCTGTCCTCGGCGTCCATGGGTGGCCGGGTGCCCTCGGCGTCCATGGGTGGCCGGGTGCCCCTGGAGCCCTCGGGTGTCCCTGAGTCCTGAGACTGGACCGCACGTAGCTTCGCTGAGCAGGGCCCTGTGGCATCGCATCGGTGTGCTGGTTGTAACCGACGCCGCAACTTCCGTTGCAGATAAGCTGGACGCGGACTACATCAAGAGGTACCTGGGCGACCTGACTCCGCTGCAGGAGAGCTGCCTGATCCGGCTGCGCCAGTGGCTGCAGGAGACCCACAAGGGCAAGGTGAGAGCCTCCTGTGCTATGGGGACCGTGGGCCTGGTCTCGCCCACGTTGCTCAGAGTCACTGTCCCGCCTGCCACAGCTGGGTCTGGCGGGGTCCCCGGCGGGCTGTGGAGCCCTGTCCGGGTTTACGGAGAAGGGTCTTGCTTGGAAACAGTGACACGTTTAGAGGTGTGGAAGGAGTTCACAGGTTGTTCAGAGACTGGAAATGAGCTTTGGTTTTAAAGGTTTTGGTAGAATTTGGGCCTCATGAGGACCAGGCTTTATAATGAGCCTCAGGCTAATGGTCTGGAAGTGCAAGAAGCACGCTGTGTGTGTGGTCACGCTGTGTGCCTGGTCACACTGTGTGCGTGGTCACGCTTTGTGCCTGGTCACGCTGTGTGTGGTCACACTGGTGTTACTTAGGGAAGGGAGCCCAGGGCCACACTGACTGGTTGCCTCCCGCACGCGCCGACCAGGGCTGGTTGGCCTGGGGATGAGCCTACAAACAGGGTATGTGCCCTTGACTGGAATTGAACCTGGACCCTTCAGTCTGTGGGCTGATGCCCTAGCCACTGAGAAGTGGGTGTTTGAGTCTTGCCGTTGGCAACTGTTTTTCCGTAGCAACTTCCAGATTGCTCACCGCGCCTCTCCTCTCGGTAGATCCCCAAAGATGAGCACATTCTCCGGTTCTTACGCGCCCGGGACTTCAACATCGACAAAGCCAGGGAGATCATGTGCCAGTCGCTGACGTGGCGCAAGCAGCACCAGGTGGACTACATCCTGGACACCTGGGACCCCCCGCAGGTCCTGCAGGACTACTACGCAGGCGGCTGGCACCACCACGACAAAGGTAGGCAGTGTGGGGCGGGCACTCGGACGTGCCAGAGGGAGGCTCCTCCGCGGGCGAGTGGGCCTGGAGGCGGCGTCTCTCCCCGCCCGCAGCCCACAAACATGGGTGCCATCACCACGGCCTCCTGGCCACCGGGAACGCCGGAGCCTGAGGCCGGCCGGCCCCGAGCTTCCTCCTCGGGCCGAGCTGCCCTGAATGACGTGGTCGGGGGTAAAGCCAGAGGCTGGCAGCTGGAGGAGCACAGTGCTGGTGGGCACTCCAGGCCTGCCGCCCCCGGAGGTGGAGGGTGCACAGCCCGGAACCCACCTCGGCAGGGAGAGCGGCAGCTCTGGGCGGGGGAGGGGCGAAAACACGCCAAGGACAGAGCCACCTAAACCGGGAACGCGTGTGCGCCACTCGGGGCTGCTGGGACACTGGCCAGGAGGCCATTTCCGGCCTGTCGCTGCTCCTGGGGATGCTGGCTCCCCAGGCCCTGACGCAGCAGGTCGGCAGCCTGTGAAGTGGAGGATCAGACGCTTCGGGGAAGCTGTGTGTGGGGGGCCGCCCTCAGCCTGGCTGTGAAGTGAGGAGCCGAGCCCTGTGCCCAGGGCACCCCTCTTCCGCCACCGGCTGAGCTGCTCTGCGGGCGGCTTTGGTTTGGGGAAGAGGGGCTCCTGCACCCACAAGCTCCTGCACCGCGTGTAACCCGCCTTCCTCCTGCAGACGGGCGGCCCCTCTACGTGCTCCGGCTGGGGCAGATGGACACCAAGGGCCTGGTGCGGGCGCTCGGCGAGGAGGCGCTGCTCAGATATGTGAGTGCGCGCTGCGCCTGCACGCGGGATTGGGTGTCGCTTTTGTCACAGGAAGGAAAGCTGTCAGTGTGTGAGAGAGAGATGTCGGAGGCGGGCACGGAAGTTATAAAAACATTGACCCAAAGGTCACCATAGCCCCTCGGATGGCCACTGGGCGCTGCGTCCTCTCTGACCTTCCCCCACCCTGACCTGCCCCCTCCCTGACTCTCCTTTCGAGATTCTCTCACCCGACCTCTTCACAGTGGCCTTCCCCCTGCACCGCCTCCATCTGGGCTCCTGCATCTTCCACCTCAACCAGTCTCCTTCCCTCCCAACTCACTCGCCCCTCCTCTGCAGCCTCCGCAGTGGCAGATACGAGGAGAGGAGTACGATCCTCAATTAAACAGACGAACAAAGCTTTAAAAGGCCCGTCCGGAATCCCACGATCCTAACACCCCGCTGGCGTTCCGTGGGCTCTCAGCGCCTGTGTGTGCTCCTACGGGCGTGCGAGCATATCCAGATGCACACGCACACAGACAGGCCGAGGGGGGCTTGTCATCCAAACTGCGTTCCTCTGGCCGCGCTTCCCGTCCGCCTGACCCGCCCTCCCCGGGTGGTAGGTGTGGTGTCCCCTCTCGGCGTGGCCGCCCGCCCGTGACCCCGCCCAGGGTTCGTCCCAGCCTCTGAGGACAGCACCCCCTCCCTTCAGAGGGAGCCCCGCCGGGGATGGGCTGTGTCAGAAATGCTAACAGATGCCGGGTTGGTGTGCTTACCCAGCGCGCCGCGTCTGATGCCGGGTCACCCCAGGCTCACGGCGTCCCGTGGCTCTCACGCAGGTCCTCTCCATCAACGAGGAGGGGCTGCGGCGCTGCGAGGAGAACACCAAGGTCTTCGGCCGGCCCATCAGGTAGGCTGCGCTGTCTGCCTCCGGCCGCCCCCTCGGAGGCTTGGCAGGCGGGTTAGTCTGCTTGGTCCTGAGAGCCCAGGGTGGCAGGTTAGGGTTAGTCTGGGTTTTTCATTTGTTAGGGGTGGGGCAGCGGGGGCGCCAGCTTCAACAATCAGTGTGGTCTCCTCCTCCTACTGCTGGTCCCGGCGAGCGGCTCTGTGGGGCTGAGGGCCCAGCAGGTGGGCAGAGGGCCCGCCGGAGGGAAGCTCTGAGGGCAGGACTCCGAGGCTGGTTCCCACCGCAGCCTCGGCTCCGGGACAGCGCTCGGCTCTGGGCACTCGGAGGCTCCCCGCAGGCAGGCAGTCCCCTGCCGCCCGGTCCAGACCTGCGGGGCCGTCGCTGCTCGTGCCCTACTTGCTGGCCGCCGAGCACGTTCGGCCGAGGCGGGCATTGCCCATTAGCACCGGGCTCTGGGCGTGCGGGGGGTGCCAGCTGACCGTGTGCCGCTGCAGCAGGTACCAGTCTAGCGCGTAGCCTGTTGGTCTGAAAGCGGACGTTTCTGAAAGTGGGTGTGGATGACTAAGTTATAACACAAGAGTAAAGAACGGTGGCTGTGGGACCCGCGTGCCGGCTGCGTGCGTGCCGAATAACGCGTCTGCGCCCGCAGCTCGTGGACCTGCCTGGTGGACCTGGAGGGGCTGAACATGCGCCACCTGTGGCGGCCCGGCGTGAAGGCCCTGCTGCGCATCATCGAGGTGGTGGAGGCCAACTACCCCGAGACGCTGGGCCGCCTGCTGATCCTGAGGGCTCCCCGCGTGTTCCCGGTCCTCTGGACGCTGGTGGGTTGGAGCTGTGCTCAGCAGCTGCTGGCGCCTGCGGGGCACACACCCGTCATGCCCACGCGACTGACGCCGGGTCCCGGCTAGTCAGGAAAGACGGACATCTCTCCAGCTGTGCGGGAAGGGTTCCCGGGTCCCGTGCCATGCAGACGGGCCTCACCAGAGGGTGTCAGGCTCCTCCCGCTCCCCACTCACGGGTCCCGCTGTCCCTCGGCCTCTGGAAGCGGCTGCGCAGAGTGACTGCCGCTCTCCCCCCCACAGGTCAGCCCGTTCATCGACGACAACACCAGGAGGAAGTTCCTCATCTACGCCGGGAACGACTACCAGGGCCCCGGCGGGCTGCTGGACTACATCGACCGGGAGGTCATCCCCGACTTCCTGGGCGGGGAGTGCATGGTGCGTGCGCAGGCCGCCCCGCTGCTTATGGGAGGGGGGGAGTTTCCAGAATTTTAGTTTGGAGTATTGGGTTTTGTTTCTGTTATTTTTGACTGGCATCTCTCTGACCCACCGTTCAGGTGATTTTTGATAACATGCTCATTTCCTCATTGTTTTTAAATATATTTTATTGATTTTCTACAGAGAGGAAGGGAGAGGGATAGAGTTAGAAACATCGATGAGAGGGAAACATCAATCAGCTGCCTCCTGCACACCCCCCACCTGGGATATGCCCGCAGCCAAGGTACTTGCCCTTGACCGGAATTGAACCTGGGACCTTTGAATCCACAGGCTGATGCTCTATCCACTGAGCCACACTGGTCAGGGCCACATTTCCTCACTGTTAAACACCAAAGGGAACTTGCCAGAGTCTAATCTAATTGCAGCTTGCTTTATTCCCTCCGCTTTGTGTGAGTCAGATGCTGGTTCATTTCGTTCATTAGATTCGCCGTGTGAGTGAAATCACAAAGCACTTGTCTTTCTGAATCAGATTTCTTAGCTGTCTCGGAGGAGCTGTGTGTTTTTCTAAAGCACTATTAACAAAATCAGCGTTATTGTCAAAAAGATGTCCCATTGGTGATGAACCAGGATGGCATTGTAAAGAGGATGAATCCTGCTCTTTCACGTAATTTGGGATTTTTAACGCACTGGCTGAGAGGAGGGAGTCGGGATGTGTGGTCCCTGGGGACCGTGCAGCCGGGCTCGCCGGCCTGTGAGCGGGGAGGGCGCGCGGCTGCAGGGCCCGGCGCCGGAGGGCGCGGCTCAGGAGTCGGGCTCTGAGAGGAAGGCCCTCTCCTCCCTCGTAGAGAAAATGGTCTTTCCTGACACACGTGCTGAGCTAATGAGCCGGGGGCTAGGCAGACCTTGTTCTGCACGAGAGGGTTTAGCCGCCCGGCCCTGTGAAGCCTCCAAGGAGCGGCATGGCTGACGGGCCCCTCCAGCCTGGTTACCCAGGAAGCACTGGGTTTGAGCTCGGAGTGAAGCCGTTGTGTCAGGTGAATCAGGAAGCGTGTGGAATGCACTCCATTCATGCAGCCTGGCAGAGAGGCAGGTCCCAGGGAGGTGTGCGCCAGCAGCTTTGGCTGATGGTACGGCAGTCACTTGGCTGGCAGTGGACACGTATCTGGACCGTGATTACAGAAATAAAGCAATGCCGGTGCATCAGCCCCTTTCCAAATTCATGTTTCCCTTCCGGGGGCCGTGTAAAACCCAGTCATTCTCACATAAACTGCGTTCGTAATTGAGTCCAGAACCCACCCATGTTAGTGTGGATTCCGTGGTAACTCAGCTGCCACTCGTCCTCCGTTTGCTCACAGCCAGACGGGGGGAGGCGGTCTGGGGGAGGTGGCCAAGCTGCGGGCTCCACGCCCCGCCAGCCCCCACCTCCCCAGCAGCTCCGGGGCGGCTGCCAGGCGGGGCCGCACCGCCCTGACCGTCAGGCCAGCGCCGTGTTCGCTCAGCTTCGCCGTGTTTGCTTTGCAGTGTGAGGTGCCGGAGGGCGGGCTGGTCCCCAAGTCCCTGTACCGGACCGCGGAGGAGCTGGAGAACGAGGACCTCAAGCTCTGGACCGAGACCATCTACCAGTCCGCCAGCGTCTTCAAAGGAGCCCCCCACGAGGTGAGCGGGGCTGCCTCCCGCGGGGCCAGGGCCCCGCAGGCACCGGGGACGGAGGCAGGGCTCGCTCTCCGGACGGTACAGGAGCAGGCGCGGCAGCGTCCAGGGTCCCCTCGCGCTCCTGGCCGCACGGAGGTGGACTCCTGGCGTAGTCTCTTAGGAGCCCATGCTTCATTTTCTGTGTTTCACTGGCCGGACTTGGCTATTTATATCCAAAGGGGTCTCCCGTGTTTGCTGGCCCAGTGGGGTGAGAGCAGTTTCCCTCCGCTGTCGCTTCGCGGGGCGGGAGCGTCCTGACGCCGCGGGTGAGGAGCTCACAGCGTCTCCCCCTGAGCCCAGCCAGGCCGCTGGCTCAGCCGCAGAGAGGACGCTCAGAGAGCGGGCTGCTGGCTGGGCCTTCATGTCCGTTTTGGATGTTCAGTAAACTAAAGACTGTGCACTGGGAAGCCCTGGGCCGTAGGGTGGCTAACAGTGCCCAGCTCAGGGCCCAGCCACAGGGCAGCACCAGCTCCCAGCTGGCTGGTGCCCGGAGCCATGGCAGCGGCACGGGCCCTTGCCACCTTGGGAGTGACGCACACGTGTCCCCTCCTCCAGATCCTCGTGCAGATCGTGGATGCCTCCTCGGTGATCACATGGGACTTTGATGTGTGCAAAGGGGACATTGTCTTCAACATCTACCACTCCAAGCGGTCGCCCCAGCCGCCCAAGAAGGACTCCCTGGGGGCGCACAGCATCACGTCCCCCGGGGGCAACAACGTGCAGCTCATCGACAGGGCCTGGCAGCTGGGCCGCGATTACAGCATGGTGGAGTCGCCGCTGATCTGCAGGGAAGGCGAGAGTGTGCAGGTGTGTGTCGGCAACGCCGGCTCGGGGTTTGTCCTGAGGGGAGGCTGTCCCCTCGCTCCTGCCCGGCATGGCCGGCCTGTCTGTCTGTTTGTCTGTCTGTGGGCACAGGGTGTGTCCGGCCTGGTCCCATCAGGATGACCTAGAGCAGAGGACTCGGGCCAGGCCTGTCTGAAGGGCGGGAGTGGCTTTGGAAGTGGGTTCACAGCGGTGACCAGGAGGAGGGAGGACTGGGTGCACACAGCTAGGGCTCAGGGGCTCCACCACCGAGCCCCTGGCTGTGTGCCGTGGGTTTCACCCTCAGTGAAGGCAGAGAACGAGTGTTTCGGGGACTGTTAAGTGTCTTCCTGGGCATTCTAGTTTATTTAAAACTAGTGCCCGGTGCATGGATTCGTGCACATTGAAAGGAATCTAACTGATCAGAACATTTTAATATCACTATTCGCCCTTCTCTGTGATAGAAGTGTCAGAGATGAGATAAAATTACTGAGCGTGTCTATACGTGTAAAAGGCTAAGTGGCCAGTAGCCGGTAGTTGTCTTCAGACGAATTCTGTCGTTGCCACTTCTTTCCGCTTCAGAATGTCAACAAAAATGATCAAATTCATAATCGACAGTGACAGATCGAAACACACGTGTGCTGTTGGTGCCAGCGAGAGCTTGATATGCATCGTGCATGTAAATTTTAAGTTGCCGGCGCACATCATGTGTGCTGGCTGGCGGTCGGGTGGTCGTTCGGGTGGTCACTTAGCCTTTTATATCTGTAGGCGCCCCGTCAGGTCTCGGTGAGACGCGGCGGCTGCTGTGAGTGCCGGCTAGTGGTGTTCTCGGTGCTTCGGGCTCTCAGAGCGGATGGTGGTTTTGCTGCCACTCGTCTCAGGGATGAGCCTGTCAGTGTCCTGGTGTCTTAGAAGCAGAGTCAGGAAACAGCTGCTTCAGTTAACAGTCACGGGCTTCTAAGCCACATCACAGTCCCATTCCAGAATTAGGGAGGAGGTGTTCTCACAGTGACGTGTGGTTTGGATGGACTTCCTGTTAACACAGAACACGCTAGTAAGATCATGGAAGTGTGTGCAAGAGCATTGCCTGGTCCACATGACCTTTGACCCCCCCAAGGCTTGAACCCTCATGGCCTGGCCTTCCTCTTCTTGAGGCTGCGGCGGGTCCTTGGGGCAGACACACTCGGTGTCACCCAGAGGCCTGGCTGGGAATGACCCAGAGTAGCAGGCCCTTCCCATCCCGGCGGGCCGTGACCCCGCTGAGCCGGGCGGACGGGGACGCTCCCCGGGCCCTGGCAGCCCCTGGGGGCGCCTGGAAGGAGACCTCAGCAGCCTGCCGACTCGTTCCAGGGCTCCCACGTGACCCGGTGGCCGGGCTTCTACATCCTGCAGTGGAAGTTCCACAGCATGCCCGCCTGCGCCGCCACCAACCTGCCCCGCGTGGACGACGTGCTGGCCTCGCTGCAGGTGTCCTCGCACAAGTGCAAAGTCATGTACTACACCGAGGTCATCGGCTCCGAGGACTTCAGGTACGGCCGGCGCCAGCTCACGAGGTCCTCTGTGCAGGGAGGGGGGTGCTGAGGGGGGCGGAGAGCAGGCCGGGCGGGAGGGGCCCAGTGCGGGAGCCGGGCGCTCGGGCCTCACGCCGCGCCCTCGCTGTGCCTTTTGCAGAGGCTCCATGACCAGCCTGGAGTCCAGCCACAGCGGCTTCTCCCAGCTGAGCGCCGCCACCACCTCCTCCAGCCAGTCCCACTCCAGCTCCATGGCTTCCAGGTAGTGCCGCCGCCGCCGCGGACCGCAGGCGCCACCAGCGGCAGTGCTGGGCTCCGCCCCCTGGGTAGCGGGAGCTCCAGATGGCAAACTAGTCCTGTCCCGACCCGGACAGGTAGCTTCCCACTCAGCAGCCATAGGTTTTGTATGCAGCGCGCACAATCGCCGAGCACAAGGGCTATCGCCAAGGAGCGTAGTTTACATGCAGTTAGAGGTCCACTCTGCCTCCAATGTTGATGCAGAAAATGTTCGATCGCCTCCATATTATCCTCCTGCGCCGAGCAGCCTCACCTCCTGCTGTCACCGCCCGTCGGACTCAGCCGCAGCCCGCGGCCTCCTCAGAACGGACGCCGCTCACCCTGAAGGACTGAGGCGGCCGTGGGCGCCCCCACCCGGCTTCCGGGCCTGCTGATCCACGGCTCTCCGTGGTGTGGGTCCGGCTCCTGGGACGCCGGGCACCGCCATCATTAAACATTGTCTCCCTCCTCCTTCCCGTGTGGGCACCGGCTGCGGGCTCTCCCTCTCCGGTGCCTTGCCCTTGCTGCCCGCATGTGGGGCCTGAGCTCATTCCCGGCGAAGCTCACCTGCTCCCCCAGAGCCTCAGAGCAGCGGCCCCGGCTCCCTGGCCACCAGGGCGCACTGGTTGGTCCCAGTTGCCATTTTGAAGGTGCCCGGTGCCCAGTCGTGCTGCCAGCGCTCTCGGTGGGGCCGCTCGGGATGGGGTGGGGCTTTAGGGCCTGCGTCTGGGACAGGAGGTGACTCCGGGGGGTGGGCACGGGGGGCTGCGGGCTGGGCAGGGAGCACCAGTCCTACATCAGGCCTCTCCCAGGAGCAGAGCACTGGAGCTCGGCTGGTCTTCCCCGTCCACAGCCACGTCTGTGTGGCGCCCCGCCTCCCGCTTTTCACGGGGCAGCTGTTTTGGAGTCGACGGCTCGGGCGCCGCAGGAAGGCGGGCTGCGGCGGGCGGCAGGGGTGCGGCTGGAACCCACCGCCGGCACGTGTGTGACCGCACAGGCCTGGCTCGGGGTTCAGTCTGCTCGAAGGGGCGTCCGTGGGCTCAGAGCTCTGGGCACGGGTGCGGCCGAGGGGGAGCCGGGAGGACGGGGAGCCGTGCGCACCCTCCGCCTGGCCAGGGAGGCACTGGGCCCGCCTGCACCCTGACGCGGTCCTGGGCTCCCCATACTGTGGGCCCCCATACCGAGCCCCGGAACAGGCTGTGCGTTTCCTCCAGAAAGGGGAGCTCCTTCCCCAAAGCTCAGAGGGTTAGTCTGCTGCCAGGGGGCCCTCCTGCTTCCAAGTCATAAGGACCTGAAGGTGGTCCCTTCTCTCTCCCCCCTCCCCCTTTCCTCCCCTCTCCCTCTTTCCCTCTCCCCCTCTCTTTTCCTCCCTCTCTCCCTCTCTCCCTCCCGCCCTCCGTCTCAGATGGCGACTTTGCTGACAGCTGCCAAGAAAACACTCCAGTCGCAGTGACATCAGCAGGGATGGCAGCTGTCTGACCCCCCCCTCTGAGGGTGTGCGCTCTCTAAGTGGGTTGGGGAGCGGCACAGTTCACCAGAGGTGAAGGCGGCGGTGGGGTCGGGGCACAGGCGCACACGTGCCTGCCCGGCTCCGTGCCTGCCCGGCTCCCGTGCCCTGCGCTCCCGGCGCTGCTGTCCCCTGCCTTCCCCAGCACTAACCATTGGTTTCCACTTTCCTCCCTAAATGCATTGTCTGCATCTCACCTTCTGTAAATGTTTGTAAACCTATTACCTCACTCTTGGTAATACAATACTATAGTCTTTACAAGATTTTTTATTGTTGCCGATAATAAATGTGAGCTGTTTGAAGAAGTCTCCTGGAAGAGCCTGTCCTTAGAGGCTGGACACAGGGCGACACCCTGAGCGAGGCCACTGAGCCCGCCTCACCGGCTCTGAAGTCAATAAAAATACATTAAAAAAAAAAAAAAGGGCCAGCGAACCCGCCCATAGTGCAGACCCCCTGCCCGGATTTCACAGCTCACGCCTCGGGCGCTCCCCCCGGATCCAAGCCAGACTCCAGCCCCCGCGCAGCCGAGCCTCTGGTGGACTTCAGAGACGAACCTGGAGCCACGGGCTGGCGGGCGCCCCTGGTGCTGCTGCTGAGAGCCGGCCGGCGTGGACCTGCCCTCCGTGCCCGGGGACGACTCACCAGCCCAGCAACCACCCTCAGGCCAGATGGCCAGACTGTCCTGGGGCCCCACCCCTCGGCCCTGTGGGACCTCATTGTGAGGTAGACTCCCCTCTCACGGAGCTTGTGCTGGGAGGGTCTGCGGGGTTCACGCTGTCCCCCAGAGAGCCCCGCGGCCTCGGGGAAATGGAGCGAGTCCTCCAGCTCATTGCAGGGCACAGGGCGGGTCCCCAGGGCCTGGGGCTTGGGGAACACCTTGGGCTGGGCCAGAAGCCCCCACCGGGGGCAATGCAGGGCTCAGAGGTTGGGGGGAGGGGCTGTTGGCCAAGGTCAGACCTCCCCCAGTTCCAGAACCCTCTGGCCCGCTCCCAGTCCTGGGCCCGCTCGGGTCGCCCGGGTCCCCGGGGCATCTGTGGTCCTGGACGAGGAGGAAGTGACTCCTGAGCGTTGAGGGCTTTGAGCTGAGAGCCCCGGCCCTGGCACCACGTGGAGCTCCCATCAGCCCTCCCACCCCCCACGGGAGGCCCAGCGCCCTCTGGTGGCGGCTGCCCACCTCCCCACGGGCTCTGTGCTCGGCCCTGGAGCAGCGTCCGGAGCTGCTGCCAGGTCCTCCTGAGCCATCATGAGCGTTTGCTGTGTTGACTTCACCTGGCTTCCCTGGCTTTAATAGGTTTGCAGCTTGGGGGACATGTGTGGGCCGTGTTCGGGCTGTAGCTCCAGAGCCCAGGGGGCCGGGGGCAGTGGGAGCAGCGGGCAGAGGAGTGGGGCCGTGGGTGTCGGGGCCCGTGGGCACCAGGAAGGCTGGCCGTGGCCTCAGGGGCTGCTGGGACTTGGAGGGGGGGCAGCAGGTGGCCTTGGTGACCCAGGATAATGCTCTCCGCCTGGTCCCCTGGCCGCCCACCACCCGCTGAGTCCTGCTGGTCACGCTCCCTGCTTCTCTGGAACGGGACAGCAAGTGGTCACTCCTCCCATGTCAGGCGGGGATCCGCCCCCCGCGCCCGTTCCCACGGCGGCAGTGCCACCTGCTGGCGCACCCTGGGGTTCCCGGCTCTTTCCCCAGGAGAAAGACTTTGCTGCTCTAAGTGCCTTGGGCATCGATGTATCTGAGCCATCACGTGGCCCGTCTGTCTGACCTCACAGCTCCGCCCGAGGCAGCGTGGAAACACCGCCTCGGGGCACCAGGGGGCGCTGGCGAGGCAGGCGCCTTGTGGGAGGGAGCAGGAGGAGAGGGAGACCCAGCGGCCAGTTCTACAGAGAACAGGCTCCCCGCAGGCTCTGTGCTGGGAGGAGGGGGCGGAGGGGAGCGGGGGCACAGCCCTCAGACCCCCGGCCGAGCCGCAGGTGCCCGGCCCACAGCTCAGCCCGAGAGCTCCGCAGGCCGGGCTGGCGCCTGGGGGGTCGGAGACGGAGTCCGTGGCCGGGCAGGGGCGCTGCCCCCTCGTCACGGGAGCTGAGGCTCCGAGGGGCCTCCCCAGCACCCTCCAGCCACCAAGCCTGTCCTGTGCCCCGACCTTCTCTTCCCTGCTGGGCCTGTGTGTGTTCCCCCCACACCCCCTCTAGCTGGGGCCTGTGTGTGTCCCCCCACACCCCCCTTTAGCTGGGCCTGTGTCCCCCCCACACTCCCCTTCAGCTGGGCCTGTGTCCCCCCCACACCCTCCTTTAGCTGGGCCTGTGTCCCCCCCACACCCCCCTTTAGCTGGGCCTGTGTCCCCCCCACACTCCCCTTTGGGCCTGTCTGTGACCCCCCACACCCCCTCTAGCTGGGGCCTGTCTGTGTCCCCGCACACCCCCTTTAGCTGGGCCTGTGTCCCCCCGACACTCCCCTTTTAGCTGGAGCCTGTGTCCCCCCCACACCCCGTCTAGCTGGGGCCTGTCTGAGGCTCCTGGAAGGCGTGACCTGGCAGAGGCCCTGTTCCCACCCCAGACCTCCGGCCTCGCTGCCAGCACTCCTGCCCCCACATGTCCACCGGGCCACTCCTCTGCGGGCGCCCACCGTGCGGGGACCTGTCATTTCCTGGGCTGAGTCACCGCCACGGCTGGAACAGGTCCGCTGCCCTGACAGCCTGCCCCCGGCACCTGTCTTCCCGCCTCGGACAGCTGCCCCGCGGTGCCCACCCCCGCGGTGGGGCAGGCTCACCGGGAGGCAGGGAAACCCGTCTCGGCAGCTCCTTCGCCAGCGGCTCCATTCCCAGCCGACAGCCCTTGCCTTTCTGTCTGCTTCCCGTGTCCATCTCGGGTCCTGCCTCAGTCAGACCTTCGGCTCCCTCACTGTCTCCCGTGTCCCACCGGGTGCTCCGGGCTGCAGAGCCGTGACGTTCAAGAAGCGCACCTTTCAGTTCCGGGATTTTCTCACGACCCTGTTTTTGTCTCATCAAAGCCAGTGTTGCTTTCCTAGTTTTTTTATGGTCTTTTATCTGAGGACGAGAGGCCCCGGGCACGAGATTTGTGCACTCGCGGGGGTGTCCCTCAGCCTGGCCTGCACCCTCTCGCAATCTGGGAGCCCTGGGGGATGTCTGACGGATGGCGTAGGGGAGCAGGCCTAAGCCAGCAGCCAGGCAGCCACGCGGGCGGGAGAGGCTCCAGCCACCGCCGCTGCACTCGCCAGCTGTGAGCCCAGCTTCTGGCTGACGGTGCTCCCCTGTGGGAGCGCACTGACCACCAGGGAACTGCTCCTGCATCGAGCATCCGCCCCCTGGTGGTCAGAGCGCATCATAGCGACCACTAGTTCCGCTGTTCAGTCAATTTGCATATTAGCCTTTTATCAGATAGGATTGTTTTCAGCTGCTCTACCACTTCTTCACTGCGGCTTCCTCCCAACTGTCTTCGTTAGCGTTAGCCTTGCTCACGTTTGGGGGAATCGGGCTGCTGGGTTGGCCTAGCGAAGCTGCCTCTCCCTCCCCCTCTGCTGCCTCCCTCCCCCCTCTGCTGCCTCCCTCCTCCCTCATTTCCAGCTGCTCCCACGGGGCCCTGGCGGCTCCACTCCAGAGCACGCATCTCCTGGGGGATGAGGAGGGGTTGGCGCCCCTTTTGTTGAGTCCTTGGGGGGAGGTCAAGGCCCGGAAGTTGTAGTTGCCCCCGCCCCCCCCCCAGGTGCACAGCCGGGAGCCCCCGGCCCTTCGGCCGAGCCTGGCTCCGGCCCTGGCCTCGCTCCACGTCTGCCGCGGCGATGGCTATCTCTATGACAGCGCCGTCTTTTAAGTTTCTCTTTTTATCGTTTATTTGTCTTTGCTCCTTGGGAGGACTTGAGAAATGAACTTTCAAGTGCCATCTCTTTTTTAAACTTTAAATGTTTCCTTTTATTGTCAGGCCATTAAACACAGAGAGCCAGTGTAAACTTGCCGTTTCCTGGAATGCAGTGGGCTTGGAGGTTAATCTTAAAGAATAAAACCTCATCAAACCAGCCCGGGTCAGCCCCGGGGAGCGTGTGTGTGTGTGTGTGTGTGTGTGTGTGTGTCCCAACTCAGCTGCTAATTTTTAAAAATATATTTTATTGATTTTTTCACAGAGAGGAAGGGATAGAGTGCTAGAAACATCGATGAGAGAGAATCATCGACCAGCTGCCTCCTGCACACACCCCACTGGGGATGTGCCCGCAACCACGGTATATGCCCTTGACTGGAATCGAACCCGGGACTCTTCAGTCCGCAGGCCATTGCTCATCCACTGAGCCAAACCGGTTTCGGCTCAGCTGCTAATTTTTGATAAACCATTTTATTGATTTATGGCAGCCACACAGGAAAGCGCACCGGTTAGCACAGCCCCACGTGGACACACCCGGTCTCGGGCAGTCCCGTGGCCGGGGGAGAGGCGGGGGGCATGGTCTCCAGCCCCCGGGTGAGAGGATGAGAGATCAGACAGGCCCAGCACTCCCCCCCAGGTCCCAGCCAGGAAGAGACTTACAGGGAGGCAAGGCCAGACCTCCCATCCCAGGGTCAGGGAGCAGGTCTGAGAGGCTGGGGGCGGGGGGAGGGTACAGGAGGGGGTGGAGACGGGAGAGTTGGGAGGTGCCCGCTGGGAGCAGAGAGCTGAGGGGCTGAGCCAGAGACACTGAGGGGAGCTGGGCCCAGGAGAGTGGAGCAACCAGGCATGTCCTTTAAATTCTATCTTTTTGGCAAAATGAACACATAGCCACCCCATCTTAAAATCTGCAATTAAACTCGGCCGATGTGGCTCAGTGGGGTCACGGTTCGATTCCCAATCAGGGCACAGGACTGGGTGGGGGGCTCCATTGCCAACAGGGGGCGTGCAGGAGGCAACCGATCCATGATTCTCTCTCATTGTTGGTGTTTCTCT